ATAAACGTGGGGATTTTTTCGCAGCCTAAAATGCGCCATTTATTGTCGCTTAAAACTTTCGGGAATCAGGAGAACATAATGAGCTCCTAATACAAACCGTATCCGTGACTGTTGTAGACCTTCTGTCTACCAGGAGAACATCAAGACGAATGTTTCCAACAAATTATATTTTTGCTATGAACCGTATTCGAATTACGTGCAAACGGGCGACTTAGGCAACACATCGAGCACCAAACCAAGAACTGCATTATCTTCAAAAGCACACAAACGCAAGGTGAACGGCGTCGATAATCGCGGGCCGAAATGCGGGGGAGAAACTCGAAGAACGAAGAAGGCATAACCGGTTCCTCGACTGTCGAGCGGCAAACGCCTAAAACACGCACGGTTCACTAACCTAAATCTTCTAACGTACCGCTCCTCGAAACGAGAACGGAATTACACCTGTACAGGTAAAAGCCAGCCGTGTTGGCATTGTACCTGCGGATTTCAAACGGGAACGGTCCTCTCAGTCGCGTTCGCCAAACCGTGAAATCGGATTTATCAATTTTAAAAAAACCAGTGCCATTCGTAACACTCCCCCAAAGGGACGGTGCCGTTTCCGCTCCAACTCTCCCTCGAGTACTTCCGTCGCGTCGCGCTTTTCGGGGTGACTTGTGAGGTGCGCGAGTTCTCTTTTTGTTTTTTTTTTGGTTTCCGTTCGTTAACCTTTCACAAAATCGCGGTGAGTATCATGTTTCTATTTATTGTTATTTTGTGGCCGTTTACCTGAAGGCGAAAGAATTTCAATCTGAGGAATGTTCGCCGAGTCGAGAAGATAAGATTATTTATTAAAGGCGACCCGGAGTCGTCGTTTTGTAAACAACTGGGGCGCGAAGAATTGAAACGACGGTAATTTTTGAGGAATTTAAGGTAAGCGCGCGCGTCGTGTGTTATTTGCAAGAAAATTCTTCGTCTGGAAGCGGCAGCCTTGGTGGATTGGGTTTCATTCTTGACACTGACACATGACACCCTCGGTCGCGGTTTAGTGAGTTTTGTGTCCACAGTCCAGAATGAAGTAGAGTAAAAAGGATTTCCTGCAGATCCGTGAGCTCTTTCAATACTTCTCCTGCTCAACCTCAACTTCTTGGAATTGTTGTTGGTCATCTTTCAGATCTTTCGATATTCATCTCCTTCAAGCCCAACGGATGCTTCACGTTCTTCGTTTTTTCATCCGTCACGTCGTTTACGTTCTTGGGGTTTAAGACCCTTCACGTCCTTCAGCATCTTCATCTCCGACATGTCCATCAGATCAGCTTCAGCAAATGCTTCCGATCCTCCTTTTTCTTCACAGTTATCTTCCGGGATTTCACATGTTGGAAATACGTCGCTCAGACTACTCGTTCTTTGGCTCCTAGTTAAGCTCTTGCAGCCCCTTCAGAAGTCCACCCTATTCCCCACGTTTTGTTTCTTGAATTTCGATTGCAAATCTTCACACATAGGACGCGAAATAAAATCTCTCCCACAGAAAATGGTACGTGCCTGCTTTTATAAATTCGCTAAGAACTCAATTTCAATGCACTTCGACGATACCAAAATTCACGCTCTCTGTTTATCGCCAGGCATACCTTAGTTCATGTTTGCTATAAAGCGGTAAATTTTACTATATTTAACAGATTCAAAACCAAATTTTTGAAACGTCAAAGCGGCCACATGTTACAAGATCTTTCCGATCGTTCAGATTCTTCAATTTGTCAAATCCGCCATGTTCTTCACAGTCTCACGTTTCTCGCGTGCTTCATTTTTACACAATTTGTTCGTTATTCAGGTGATACAGATCCTTCGGAATTATTCACAGTCCTCACTTTTTTTACATCTCTACGTTCGTTACTCCCTTTACTTTTTTGGCTCTCCGATTCTTCAGCTTTTTCAGCTCTTACAAATCCTTCATTATTCCAATTCCTTCAGGTTCTTCAGATTACTCCGATTTTTCAGATTCGATCTGATTCTTCAGATTCCTCCGATTCTTCAGATTCCTCAGATTCTTTAGGTTCTTCAATCGGCACATTCTTCAGCTCCTTCAGATCCTTCGGAGTCTTCAAATCTTTCAGATTCCTCCGATTCCTCAAGGTTCCTCCGAATTTGAGATCCTTCACGTCCTTCAACTCCTTCACATCCTTCAGATGCGTCATATCCGAGGTCATATCTTTCAGACCGTTCAAATGCTTTACATCAAGTGCGTTATTTGCATTCTTCAGATTCCTCCGAGGTTCCTCAGATTGTTCGTGCTTTAGATTCTTCCGATTCTTCAGATTCCCTCGATTATTCATATTCCTCGGATTTGTTAGATTTTTCCGATCCTTCGGATCCTCCACATCTTGCTTCAGGCCAGTCAGATCCTTCAGATTCCTCTGATTTGTCAGATCCTTCAAATTGTTCAATTCCTTCAATTCGTCGTCAGATTCTTCAGATCCTTCACATTCTTCATATCTTTCAGATCCTTTAAATCCTTCAGATCAGACAGATTTCTTCAGATTACCCCGATTCCTCAGATTCCGAAAATTGTTCATCTTTCCGATCTCACTTCAGATATCGCTTCAGATCTTTCAGTTTCTTCAGATCGAGCTTCAGATCCTTCAGATTATTCATATTTCAGATTCTTCAATCCGTCGGGTTCCTCAGATTTTTGGGATCCTTCAGATTCCTCAGATTTTTATTGTATTTGGCTTCAGATCTTCAAATTAGTTAGATCCCACAGATCCTTCATCCTTCACATTCTTCCTATTCTTCGGTTCCTCTAAATCTCGCTTTAGATTCCTCAGATTCTTCAAGTCTTTCAGATTTTTCAGTTTCTTCAGATCCTTCAGATTATTCAGATTTCAGATTCTTCAATCCCGCAGGTTCCTCAGATTTTTTAGATCCTGCAGATTTCTCAGATTTTCAATCTTCAGATCCTTCAAATTTCACTACAGATCTTCAGATTCTTACTATCCTTTGGTTCCTCTAGATCTCGCTTTAGATTCCTCAGATTCTTCAAATCCTTAAGATTTGTCCGATCCTTCAGATTCCTCCGAATTTGAGATCCTTCACGTCCTTCAACTGCTTCAGATTCTTCATATCTTTCCGACCCTTCAAATCCATTACATCCATCAGGTCCGTTATTTGCATTCTTCAGATTCCTCCGAGGTTCCTTTGATTTTTCGTGCTTTAGATTCTTCAGATTACTTCTATTCTTCAGATTCTCCAGATTCTTCAGATTACCCGGAGTTTTCACATTCTTCAGATTCTTCAGATTTTTGATTCTTCAGATTCTTCAGGTTTTTGATTCTTCAGATTCTTCAGATTCTTCAGATTCTTCAGATTCTTCAGATTCTTCAGATTCTTCAGATTCTTCAGATTCTTCAGATTCTTCAGATTCTTCAGATTCTTCAGATTCTTCAGATTCTTCAGATTCTTCAGATTCTTCAGATTCTTCAGATTCTTCAGATTCTTCAGATTCTTCAGATTTTTCAGATTCTTTCTTCAGATTCTTTCTTCAGATTCTTCAGATTCTTCAGATTCTTCAGATTCTTCAGATTCTTCTTCAGATTCTTCAGATTCTTCAGATTCTTCAGATTCTTCAGATTCTTCAGATTCTTCAGATTCTTCAGATTCTTCAGATTCTTCAGATTCTTCAGATTCTTCAGATTCTTCAGATTCTTCAGATTCTTCAGATTCTTCAGATTCTTCAGATTCTTCAGATTCTTCAGATTCTTCAGATTCTTCAGATTCTTTAGATTCTTCAGATTCTTCAGATTCTTCAGATTCTTCAGATTCTTCAGATTCTTCAGATTCTTCAGATTCTTCAGATTTTTCAGATTCTTTAGATTCTTCAGACTCCTCAGACTCTCTCAGATCCTTCAGATTCTTCAGATTCTTCAGATTCTTCAGATTCTTCGATTGTTCAGATTATTCAGATTCTTCGAATTCTTCTGTTTAATTTTTCGGATTATTTGAATTCTTTGGATTCTGCAGTTCTACATAAGATACTTCGGATGTTTCTGGTTCTTCGGATCCTTCAGATTCTTCAGATCTTTCAGATTCTTTAGATTTTTCAGATTCTTCGGATTCTTCACATTCTTCGGATTCTTCACATTCTTCGGATTCTTCACATTCTTCAGATTCTTCGGATTCTTTAGATTTCTCGGATTCTGCGAATACTTCGAATTCTTCAGATTTTTTAGATTCTTCTGATTTTCGAATCGTTTTGCTTCGTTGGTTGCCTCGGATTCTTTGGATTCCTCAGATTTCTAGGATTCTCGGGATTCTTCGGACTATTGAGATTATTCAGATTTTTTAAATTCTTCGGATTCTGTGGATATTTTGAATTCTTCGAATTTTTCCGATTCTTCGTCAAATATGGAAGTGATTTTTGGGATTCTCCCGTATTTTGGGATCTTACAGATTCTTTAGATTCTTCGCATTTTTTAATTGTTCGGATTCTTCAAGTTATTCGGATTTTTCAGATTCTTTAGATTCTTCAGACTCCTCAGACTCTTCAGACTCTTTAGATTCTTCATGTTGCCTTTTCAGATTTAACAGATTCTTCAGATTCCACAGTTTCCTCAGATTCGGATACTTAAGATGTTTCGGATTCTTTGGAGTCATCGGATTATTCGCATTCTTCAGATTCTGCGGATACTTAAGAAACTTCCTCGGATTCTGGGGATTTATTCGGAATCTTCGAATTCCTCAGATTTCCTTAAATTCTCATAAATCCGTGGAAAATCTCGCATGCTCTAAAAATAAGGACTTGAGTTGCATCATGTTCCATGGCGAACTTAAAGTACTCCTTATCGAGCCTCATTATCTGTATTTCCATGGTGACCAACAAAGAATTGTTAAATCGAAGAATATTATTTACACTTGCTGACCTTCGTACCTCTAACAATATTGGCGTGCCAGTGTAAATATGGGGTCAGGGCAAACGACTGTTTAATCTTGTACTCAATTTAAATTTCAAATAATCGTTTATTAAACGCCACTGATGCCCGTCACTCATCGACAATAATTGGTTACATAAATTTCACAAATTTTTTTGTTTAATTACCACATAATAAATATAGGTATGCATGTAGGAGGGATCGTCGCACGTTTAGATCACCGTTAGTTCTGTGAAGAAGTGCAATCGTAAAGTTTGTTTATAATTATTGCTGTGGTAAGCGACTGTTTTTGTAGTATTTAGGAATTTTTTCGGTCAAGCATGCAAAAGCTTCTGGGAGGTCTGGGGGGATTACCTATTACGTTTCATTAATTTTTTGAATTACGTGTCGTGAAACCGGATCAAAAGCATCTTCAAATGGACATTCGGGGCCGCCTTATAAAAAATCATACGCATTTCGCTCAAAAATGTCAAGTAAAGTTTATTTATTGTCCATAGATCGCCATGGCTGTCATTTTCCCGAAGTTACTGCTTCTGCTACTAGCAATCGCCGGGGTCCACTTGAGGGACTGTCACTACCGATTTTGGAAATCGATATCGTGCACCGGAATCAAATCCTTGGATCAACTGAGAAACGGGGTACACGAATCCATTGAGCTTGACAACGTCAAAAAGCCCGATTTTGAAGGTTTGGAAATGGAGCACAGCCAAATCGACTTTCTCAACTCGAGCACGTTTGAAGGCTTCGACGAAATCCAAAGGTTCAAAATTCTCTTCAGCAACGTCAGCAGCATACCGGACGGCACTTTCGAAAAGTTGAAGAATCTCGTCGAAATTCAAATTGGTTTCAGTAACGTCGCCGATCTTGGGGATGAAGCGTTTCGTGGGATGCCCAACTTGCAGCTGCTTCACTATTACGTGACGAAGGTCGGAAAATTCCACAAGGATGCGTTCGGGGACCTTCGGTCCCTAACCAAGCTCGATTTGCACAACGACGACTTGGAAGAAATCGAAGAGGGCACTTTCGACAACCTGGTCAATTTGAAAGAATTGGAGCTGCTTGGTAACAAACTGAAGCGCCTACCCGAAAAGGCTCTCGCGAAGTTGACCTCGGTCGAGAACATCTGGATCGCAGACAATCAGCTGGAGCTCCTGGACGCGGACACCTTCGCCGGCCTATCAAATTTGAAGACGCTCAACTTACAAGGCAATCGCTTGAGGAGTTTACCCCCGAAGCTTTTCGACGGTTTAGACGCGCTCACCGAGCTCTTGATACGGCAGAACCTCATAACGGAAGTGGACGAGGGGGTTCTTTCAAGTTTGAAACACCTGAAAACGCTCGATCTGGCCAGTAATCAAATTTCAGCATTACCGGCCGGTTTGTTGAGCAATTTAAGCGACCTTGAATCGCTCGGGCTGTCCGAAAATAACGTAACGAGCTTAAACCCCGACGCGCTCAAGGGACTTACCAAGCTCGCGATGTTAGACCTGAAGAAAAACCAAATCGTCGCAATTCCCCCGGGGTTTTTCGCCGACAACGGCCAGCTGAAGACGCTCGAGCTTAGCGCGAACAAGCTTAAAGAATTAGCGGCGACGACGTTTGACAATTTGAAGCAGCTGTCTTACTTGTACTTGTCACAAAACCAAATTTCGGAAATGGATCAGGGCGCGTTTCAGTCTCTGGAGAGCTTGGAGTACTTGGATCTGAGCGACAACCAGTTGGAGGCGATCGCGCCTAACGTTTTCGGCAATCTGAGGAAGATGCAAACCCTGAGTTTGGCCAGAAACAAAATTAAAGCGCTACCTGCTGGAATCTTCGACGCCCTGACGTCGATATCCGCCATTTACTTGCCCAGCAATCAGATCACCAGCCTGGAACCGAACCTGTTTGACAACCTGTCAAATTTGAGCAGCTTGGATGTGTCCGATAATAAACTGGAGAGCCTCCCACCGGGACTCTTCAAAAATCAGCGAGAACTGAAATCGTTTTACCTAAGCAATAACAAGCTGAAGGCCATCGAAGGCGAATCCCTGAAGGGATTGTCAGCGCTCACGTTCTTCCGTTTGGAAAACAACCCCATTGCACGCATCGACTGTGACGCCATCGCCCATTTGACCGCTGTTGAATTTTTAACCTTCGATAACAACAACATAAACGAGGTCTCTCCCGGTTGCTTCTCCAAGTTGAAGAACCTCTACTCACTGGAGATCACGAAGAATAAACTAAAAACCCTGAAGAAAGGGATCTTCGACGGACTGGAAAGGGTGATGACCTTAAATTTGGACGATAACGAAATTGAAGATATTGACGAGGGTGCGTTCTCCGGCCTGGACACTATTCAAAGAGTGTCGCTTCATAACAATCGCATCTCTAAGATTTCAAAGTCGACCTTTACCGGGCTCGAAAACGTAACTATGCTGACCTTAACCGCGAACAAAATTGCCTCTATCGATTCCACTACCTTTCAGCTCGTGGCGAACCTGCAGTTCCTCTACTTGGGCTCGAATCGGCTGAGCAAGCTGGAGGGTGACGTGCTCGACAAACTACCACATTTGCTGGTGTTGGACTTGTCGGATAACGGAATCGAAAGTCTTCCCGCTGACCTCTTCAAGTCAACCAAACTGCTGAACACGCTCCATTTGAACAAAAACAAAATTCGCAATTTGGAAAAGGGCACCATTCCGCCCGCCGACGACTTGCAGTACCTGTACCTCAACAACAACGAAATAGAAGAAATAAAACCGGGGGCCTTTGGAGAGTTCAGGCAGTTGCGCGATGTGGATTTGTCGAACAACACGCTGAAACACGTCACGTCCGAGATGTTCGCCGGGCTGACGCAGCTGTTCTCGATCCATCTGGAAAATAATCAAATCAGCGATCTCAACCCGAATACGTTCGACAATCTTCCCGCATTGTCCCGGGTGACTCTGGACGGAAACAAGTTGGACGCTAAGGTGTTGATGATTATCGACAGCAAATTTCCGGAGCTTAAACCGATCATCCTTAATTAAAACTGTTTGAGGGTAACAGCCGCTGTGATTGTTGAATTTTTATTAATGTAAATACCATAAAAATAAAGAGTTTTAGCATATGTCTCTTTGTCTTCATTCCAGCAACAAAATGGATGTTGGAGAGAGTGTCTCCGCAAAACTTTATCCGTTGGTAACGACGTTAGCCCTCGACATCAAAGATTCTAGCAAGTTGAAGGGAGAGTAGTTGCGGAAAGCTATACCGAGGAGGTGATCTCAGTCTCAGATACTTGGAAGAGGGGGCAAATGTTTCAGGTGTCATAGAAGAAACCTCGGTTACTGTGATTTCCGGTAGGTGAACTCCTTTGAGAATATATTTAGAGTAAGAATTTTCTGGAACCTTCACTTCGGGAATATTGGAGGCGTGAGGCGTTTTCTTAGGGCAAAATAAGAACTTCTCCCGATCAACTTTTGTACCACCTTATGCCGGTATTCCGGAATAGACGTGTACTAAAGTATTGCAGACTCCCCGCTAACATTTTTTTCCACAAACAGTTTTGTCTTGAGGACTCACTTGAAAGTTGGAAGGATTATCCCTTTTCTGCGCACTGCAGAGAACGTAGCACCAGGCGGTCTGGGACGTTTGGAATACTCCCAAGCAACGCAAAAGTAAATGGTCATTTCCGGAAAATTATGTGAAAAGAGGCCACCCAGCAAAAAAGGATTTAATCTGGTCTGGCGGGTTCCACTTGCATTCATTTCCCATTTGTAAGATGCAACTTCTATTAAAATAGTAAAAATCCGGCCACAAATATAAAAGATAGCGTTGCAAAGGTGCAATCCATTTTTGACGTACTACTTCAATTTCAGTTTATAAGAAGAATTTCGTTTAAATGCTTCCATAGATTAAAAAAAGCTGGCACTGCGCAAGCGCCAAACCAAATTCTTGAAACTGGCGTTTGTTTTCCTTTATTCCAAGTGCCCATGTATCAAATTTCGTTTAAATGCTTCCATAGATTAAAAAAAGCTGGCACTGCGCATGCGCCAAACCAAATTCTTGAAACTGGCGTTTGTTTTCCTTTATTTCAAGTGCCCATGTATCAAATTTCGTTTAAATGCTTCCATAGATTAAAAAAAGCTGGCACTGCGCAAGCGCCAAACCAAATTCTTGAAACTGGCGTTTGTTTTCCTTTATTCCAAGTGCCCATGTATCAAATTTCGTTTAAATGCTTCCATAGATTAAACAAAGCTGGCACTGCGCATGCGCCAAACCAAATTTGAAACTGGCGTTTGATTTTCCTTTACTCTAAGTCCCTATGTATCAAATTTCGTTTAAATGCTTCCATAGATCAAAAAAAGCTCGCACTGCGCATGCGCCAAACCAAATTTTGAAACTGGCGTTTGATTTTCCTTTATTTCAAGTGCCTGTGTATCAAATTTCGTTTAAATGCTTCCATAGATTAAAAAAGCTGGCACTGCGCAAGCGCCAAACCAAATTCTTGAAACTGGCGTTTGTTTTCCTTTATTCCAAGTGCCCATGTATCAAATTTCGTTTAAATGCTTCCATAGATTAAAAAAAGCTGGCACTGCGCATGCGCCAAACCAAATTCTTGAAACTGGCGTTTGATTTTCCCTTATTTCAAGTGCCTGTGTATCAAATTTCGTTTAAATGCTTCCATAGATTAAAAAAAGCTGGCACTGCGCAAGCGCCAAACCAAATTCTTGAAACTGGCGTTTGTTTTCCTTTATTCCAAGTGCCCATGTATCAAATTTCGTTTAAATGCTTCCATAGATTAAAAAAAGCTGGCACTGCGCATGCGCCAAACCAAATTTGAAACTGGCGTTTGATTTTCCTTTACTCTAAGTCCCTATGTATCAAATTTCGTTTAAATGCTTCCATAGATCAAAAAAAGCTCGCACTGCGCATGCGCCAAACCAAATTTTGAAACTGGCGTTTGATTTTCCTTTATTTCAAGTGCCTGTGTATCAAATTTCGTTTAAATGCCTCCATAGATTAAAAAAGCTGGCACTGCGCAAGCGCCAAACCAAATTCTTGAAACTGGCGTTTGTTTTCCTTTATTCCAAGTGCCCATGTATCAAATTTCGTTTAAATGCTTCCATAGATTAAAAAAAGCTCGCACTGCGCATGCGCCAAACCAAATTTTGAAACTGGCGTTTGATTTTCCTTTATTTCAAGTGCCTGTGTATCAAATTTCGTTTAAATGCTTCCATAGATTAAAAAAAGCTGGCACTGCGCAAGCGCCAAACCAAATTCTTGAAACTGGCGTTTGTTTTCCTTTATTCCAAGTGCCCATGTATCAAATTTCGTTTAAATGCTTCCATATAGATTAAAAAAAGCTGGCACTGCGCATGCGCCAAACCAAATTTGAAACTGGCGTTTGATTTTCCTTTACTCTAAGTCCCTATGTATCAAATTTCGTTTAAATGCTTCCATAGATCAAAAAAAGCTCGCACTGCGCATGCGCCAAACCAAATTTTGAAACTGGCGTTTGATTTTCCTTTATTTCAAGTGCCTGTGTATCAAATTTCGTTTAAATGCTTCCATAGATTAAAAAAGCTGGCACTGCGCAAGCGCCAAACCAAATTCTTGAAACTGGCGTTTGTTTTCCTTTATTCCAAGTGCCCATGTATCAAATTTCGTTTAAATGCTTCCATAGATTAAAAAAAGCTGGCACTGCGCATGCGCCAAACCAAATTCTTGAAACTGGCGTTTGATTTTCCTTTATTCCAAGTGCCTATGTATCAAATTTCGTTTAAATGCTTCCATAGATAAAAAAAAAGTTGGCACTGCGCGTGCGCAAAACCAAATTTTGAAACTGGCGTTTGATTTTCCTCTATTCCAAGTCCCTATGTATCAAATTTCGTTTAAATGCTTCCATAGATTAAAAAAAGCTGGCACTGCGCATGCGCCAAACCAAATTCTTGAAACTGGCGTTTGATTTTCCTTTATTCCAAGTGCCCATGTATCAAATTTCGTTTAAATGCTTCCATAGATTAAAAAAGCTGGCACTGCGCAAGCGCCAAACCAAATTCTTGAAACTGGCGTTTGTTTTCCTTTATTCCAAGTGCCCATGTATCAAATTTCGTTTAAATGCTTCCATAGATTAAAAAAGCTGGCACTGCGCATGCGCCAAACCAAATTCTTGAAACTGGCGTTTGATTTTCCTTTATTCCAAGTGCCTATGTATCAAATTTCGTTTAAATGCTTCCATAGATAAAAAAAAAGTTGGCACTGCGCGTGCGCAAACCAAATTTTGAAACTGGCGTTTGATTTTCCTCTATTCCAAGTCCCTATGTATCAAATTTCGTTTAAATGCTTCCATAGATTAAAAAAAGCTGGCACTGCGCATGCGCCAAACCAAATTCTTGAAACTGGCGTTTGATTTTCCTTTATTCCAAGTGCCTATGTATCAAATTTCGTTTAAATGCTTCCATATAGATTAAAAAAAGCTGGCACTGCGCATGCGCCAAACCAAATTCTTGAAACTGGCGTTTGATTTTCCTTTATTTCAAGTGCCTGTGTATCAAATTTCGTTTAAATGCTTCCATAGATTAAAAAAAGCTCGCACTGCGCATGCGCCAAACCAAATTTTTGAAACTGGCGTTTGATTTTCCTTTATTTCAAGTGCCTGTGTATCAAATTTCGTTTAAATGCTTCCATAGATTAAAAAAAGCTCGCACTGCGCATGCGCCAAACCAAATTTTTGAAACTGGCGTTTGATTTTCCTTTATTTCAAGTGCCTGTGTATCAAATTTCGTTTAAATGCTTCCATAGATTAAAAAAAGCTCGCACTGCGCATGCGCCAAACCAAATTTTGAAACTGGCGTTTGATTTTCCTTTATTTCAAGTGCCTGTGTATCAAATTTCGTTTAAATGCTTCCATAGATTAAAAATAGCTGGAACTGCGCATGCGCCAAACCAAATTTTTGAATCTGGCGTTTGATTTTCCTTTATTTCAAGTGCCTGTGTATCAAATTTCGTTTAAATGCTTCCATAGATTAAAAAAAGCTCGCACTGCGCATGCGCCAAACCAAATTTTGAAACTGGCGTTTGATTTTCCTTTATTCCAAGTCCCTATGTATCAAATTTCGTTTAAATGCTTCCATAGATTAACAAAAGCTGGCACTGCGCATGCGCCAAACCAAATTTTTGAAACTGGCGTTTGATTTTCCCTTATTTCAAGTGCCTGTGTATCAAATTTCGTTTAAATGCTTCCATAGATTAAAAAAAGCTCGCACTGCGCATGCGCCAAACCAAATTTTGAAACTGGCGTTTGATTTTCCTTTATTTCAAGTGCCTGTGTATCAAATTTCGTTTAAATGCTTCCATAGATTAAAAAAGCTGACACTGCGCATGCGCCAAACCAAATTCTTGAAACTGGCGTTTGTTTTCCTTTATTCCAAGTGCCCATGTATCAAATTTCGTTTAAATGCTTCCATAGATTAAAAAAAGCTGGCACTGCGCATGCGCCAAACCAAATTTGAAACTGGCGTTTGATTTTCCTTTACTCTAAGTCCCTATGTATCAAATTTCGTTTAAATGCTTCCATAGATTAAAAAAAGCTGGCACTGCGCATGCGCCAAACCAAATTTGAAACTGGCGTTTGATTTTCCTTTACTCTAAGTCCCTATGTATCAAATTTCGTTTAAATGCTTCCATAGATTAAAAAAAGCTGGCACTGCGCATGCGCCAAACCAAATTTTTGAAACTGGCGTTTGATTTTCCTTTATTTCAAGTGCCTGTGTATCAAATTTCGTTTAAATGCTTCCATAGATTAAAAAAAGCTCGCACTGCGCATGCGCCAAACCAAATTTTGAAATTGGCTTTTGATTTTCCTTTATTCCATGTGCGTATGTATCAAATTTCGCTTAAATTCTTCCATAAATAAAAAAAGTTGGCACTGCGCATGCGCAAAACCAAATTTTGAAATTGGCGTTTGATTTTCCTTTATTCCAAGTGGCTATGTATCAAATTTCATTTAAATACTTTTATAATTAAAAAAGTTTGTCATTCGGTTTATAAATGGTCGAGATGCGAAAAGGGCACCTGTGAATTTGGAATCGATTCAACTCAACATATGGCTAAAGCTATGCTCATATT